AGCTTCATTGATGGCGGTACATTTGTCCACCCAAACATATCTCACCATCTACAAAATATACAATATTATGAACAATCACCAAAGTTGAATTCTGAGATCCATTCATTTCCTTAGAGTTTCAGAATGATGAGATTCTAATCCAAAATACTCCCTGTTCTACCATTTGATTACCAGTAGGACACTTCAGACTGGAAAACTAGGGCAAGCTGATGGGAAAATTCTTGATATCCACTCCCCACACCCCTTCCTCCAGCCAGGGCTCAAAACTCTGTTGTATCCAGGTAAGTTGCTAAGGAATCAATTTGGCAAAACTGTTGTCAAGGCCAACATGGCCACCCCCAGCCCAGCCTTCTCGCTAGGTCCTCTGTCCCCCTGTCAGGTCACCCCGTTCCATCAGGGACTTTCCCCGCCTCCCTTCTTCACTGGAGTCCATCTTCAAGAAGGGAAGGTCCTCATTTCCTCCCACCCTTTAAGAGGTGAGTTCCACAGTGTCTCTCTCAAACATTCTCACTCAGTCCTCTCAGGTTTGAAAGCAGGTGTCCTCAATCCCAAGTCCACCCTGCAGGTGTGTTTGATTTGGGCCAGCACAGGGTACTTTTACTTGTTGTTTTGGCTTGTTTCTAAGCTGAAGGAGACCGTACATACATTCTCTCCAGTTCATTCAGAGCCCACGTCCCCGTATGTGTCATGTCCCTCCTGTGTCCAGCATCCCCTTTGCACTTCCATTGCTATCTTACTCAGAGGTAAGAAGGTATCATTAGCCAGTGTAAAGAGACATGACAGGCCTGGAGGATGCTGATGTTGAAGGGCCTGCAGAAGGCACAGACGGGTAGGAGACAGACATCAAGTGCTCCGGCAAGGAGAGTGCAAGGCCAAATCAGTGTCCCTGAGGGGAAGAACCTGTCTGGGGGCCTCTCCAGCCAGCCTGGCAGAAGCTAAAACGCATATGTCTTTTTCTTCCCCTTCACAGAGACAGCATAAGAAAGCATGACAAAATGAGGCCTAAGATAATATTTGGGGAGAAAGTTTATTTTTTTATGGTCTGTTTGCATTATACCGTCGGGCAAATAGAGGCGGAGAAAGACTTGTCCCAAATGGCAGGATGGGAGAAGCACAAGTCCAATGTCAATAGTTAGAAATACAAGTGTTTGGTTTCATTAAAGTTCTTCAAAAACATTTCTTCTTTCCTTTTCCTGAGGGAATTGAAGAGAAGGGAATGCAGGGCAGGAGACAGGGAGGGAGGTGGGGCCAGCCCTACCCACCGGCAAGGAGGCTTGTCTGGAGGAATTTGCATCTTTGGCCAGCTTGGGCGGTTGGCAGGCCTACCCGAGCCCGGACAGCTGGCTGGAGTCACCCTGGCTTCCGTGACTGCTAGCCATGGGCAGGTGAGCCAGAGCCTTAGCATTCGACCGTAAGCACACTTGGTGCAAATGGACAAATAGTCCAATCAGGGCCACCCCAGGGAAAATGATTTGATGTCTGTATTCTTCTCTGGCCCCATTTGGTTACAGCTGTCCCCTTTTCCTCCCTGCCATCATGCTGGTCTACTGCCAGGCATGAGTTGGTCATATTGCAGAGGCAGAAGGAGGTGGGTTGTATTAGTTTTCTTAATTTTGTGTTTTGTTTTGTTTTGCTGCCCTTGTAGAGATTAAACTCAGGCTGTCATAGTAAGCCACACCCTCATCCCTTTTTGTTATTTTTATTTTGAGACAAGGTCTTGCTTTAGCCACTACATTGCCCAGGCTACTCTTGAACTCCCCATCTTCTCCCCTCAGCCTCCCCAAATTCTGGGATCATGGGCACGCATCCCCACACCTGGCTGAGGTAGGGCGAGTACGCTGGCCCCCGACATGCAGACTGGGTTTTGCGGTTCTCACGCCAGCTCTGGCACCAGTTCAATGAGTCACCTCGGGCAGATTCTTTGTGCTTTAGTTTGTTGCCTGGAAATGGAGAGATGCTGTCAATATCATACGGGCTGTGGAGACTCAATGGGAAAAGTGCTTACGGGGCCCAGCATGGAGTAGGTGGACAGAACTCTAGGATTTTTAGCTCCCTTTTGTCTGCCCTTGTCCTGTCATTACATACCACTGCTCAGAATCCCACTGGATTTGTTCAAATAGTACATTGTACACACAAAAAAGATGAAAGTGGATTTTTTTCCCCAGGCCATTTTGCTCACATCCTGAGACTGCCGGAGACAGATGAAGCATGGCAGATTCATTTGACTGGTGGAGGAAACTTCAAGGCAGCCCAATGTTGAGGCTGTGGCACCTACATGGGGCTTTCAATCAGCTCAACATTGAAAATTGAGTACAAACGCCACAGCTAAATGATTTTAAAGTTTTGAGTTTCACCAGAAAGAAAGTTCTTATAAAGTTGGGGCCTGTTAAGTTTTGGCCTACAGGACTTTGAGTTGCTGAAAAAATTCAAAAGAAGGCAAATACTCTAAGTTAGGATAGGAGGAAGGATACCATCGTTCATGCTGCAAAAGTGAAGGACCCCACCCTTTACTCTGCCCAAGTGAAAGACATTGCTTTACAAAGAGCTCCAGAGCACCCTGGTGGAGAACAGCCACCTGTTCACTTGGTTCCCTGGGGTTTAGTTCCCCCTGTTCAGCAACCTATCCACTGAGAGGCCTCTGCAGGCAGAATTCAAGGAAGCCTGACTGCTGCTTGAGCAGGTGGCAGCCCTTGGCATCATCCACGGGCATGCAAGGTGCAAGAGCTGTGGAGTCAGGTGGTTTCCATCCAGCCTGTAGAAGACCTGGGCAGCTGGCCTGAGCGCCCATGACAAGACATGAAGCTGTGAGAGTGATGCTCATAGGGCAGCAGGGGCCCCCAGGAAACTGGAGCAGCCAGGAGCCTGGAATGTCTGAGAATAGCCACAGACAGTAAAAACGGTTACCCCAACGCAGAGGCCACGGGGGCTTATGCCAGGTGGTGCCATGGAGACCAGGCCATTCAGGGCATTTGGAGGCCACCTCGCACCACAGCTTGCCCTAGTGAAAGACACAGAAGTACTGGATATAATGTCTGCCCTGCTGAGTTTCAGTGCTGCTTCTGTCCTGTTCTCTTCTATCCCTCCTCTCCTCTCCTTTGGAATGGGAGTGTTTGTCCTGTGGTGTCGTGTGTTGACTGTGTGTGACTTCTTTGGTACGTCTAGAGCTCACAGTTCAGAGTCTGCCTTAAGTCAGAGGAGATTTGAGGCTCAAACTTATGAAACTGTTAAAGCTTTGCCAGCTCTTTGAGATGGACTAAAGTCATTTGGCCTAAAGAGTTGTGCTTGAGTCCTTTGGTGTCTAGGGGAAGAATATTATGGTCTAGCTCGAAATGACCCCTAAAGCCTCACGTGTTTGTAAGGTGACTGGATTTGTTGTTAGGAAGTTGGGTGTAGGTAGGAGAAGTAAGACCCTGGGCATCTCCCTACCCAGCTCTTCCCCTGATTCTATTTCTGGCTTCTGTGATAGAAGCAGCTTTCTTCCACCCAGCGCCCTTCTCCAAGCCTTCCTGCCTCATGGAGCCAGTCAGAGAAACATGAGCCCAAATTCACCTCTCCTGTTAGTATCAGGTTTCAGGTATTTTGATGCAGAGATGAGGAAAGTGACTAAGGCAGAACCCCTGCTCTGCTGCCTCCCAGGCCTCAGTCTCCCTATCAGTGAAATGCAGGTAGTTATTACTTTGTACTCAGACTATCAGCGAGTTAGGCAAAAGCCTCTCTGAACAGCACCCGGCTAGGGCTAGGGCTAGGGTTCGGGTTGGGGTTAGGGTTAGGGTTGGCTATCATTACCAACAGTGCTCTGGCGTCCCCAGACCTCTCATAGACACCATGGGAGCTAACAGAAACCCCCAGGGCTTGGAGAAAGCTGCCTTCTGAGCAGACCTGGGCCAGGAGAGGTGGCCTTGGATGTCCTCACCCTTACTCTGAAAAGTGGGACTCGCTCCCCAGCCCCACCCAGCTCCACCTCACCACGGCAGGATAGCTGAAGATGTGCTGTCGGCCCTGGACAGCCACACCCCACAGCACAGTGCAGCCTGGAAGGCCGGATGTGGCCTGTTTTCCCAGCCAGACACTCCATTACCGGGGTGCATTTCAGTCCTGCTCACCTTATCAGCTCCTCACCTTCCGCTGCCGCGTCCCTCCCTTCCTCCCCACCAGGTGTTTGTTTTCACAAGGCCTGGACTGCGGAGGTGAGCAGTGACCTGCTCTGGTGAGGAATCTGCTCATTGCTCCTTATCCCCGCAGTGGGGACCTGACTTGCTACTCCTCCCTGCCCCAAGAAAAGCCATCTTGAGTGATGCTGGGAGGTGAGGAAGGGGCTGCTCAAACTGCCCAGCCCAGGCCTGCAGCAGTACCAAATCTCTGAGAAAAGCATCTTTCTCTGGCAACAACCAGGAAAGAGAGAAATAGCTGGCGGTGAAGGATAAAGCAAGGTCTGTGCTGAAGTTACAGACACCGGAGTGACCAAGCCTGCCCTCTACTCCTTCACTTCCTGTGCTGCCTCCTGCCTGCCACACCCTCCCCCAGGCAGATGGTGGGCTCAAGTTGAGAGTGCCCCCTGCGCCAGATCAGAAACGTCCTTGTTAGGTTATGGCCTCGGAGGAGTGAAGGCAGACTCCATCTTGAACATTCCTTCACCCAACAACTCCAGGAAGTTCAGGCGGGGCTCATCCTCCTCCCCTGGGTCCTTTGTCCCCACTGGCACTCCCCTGCTGCTCTTATTGCCACCCAGCTACCTTGTCTGCCTCATTCTCCTCCCCAGAGGACAGAGTAGGGCTTCACCCTTACTGGCCCACTTTGCCGAGCCCAGCAGGCTGGAATTCTCCAAAAATAAGCTCAGAGAACATCAATGATCTAATAATCCTAGATCCTAGATCTAACCCAAACCAAATGTCTAATCCTAAAACAACCAGTCTTGCCACCACCACCCCAGCCCAGCCAGGTCCAGGTCCAGGTCCAGGTCCAGGTCCTCCTGCCTACTCTGTGCACCTGCCAGCAAAGACCCTCTCAGGTGAGGCGTCCCAATAGCCTTCTCATCCCCAAGGCAGACGGAAGTGGAGAAAAGAAAGGGAAGGTGTAGCGCAGATGCAGCAAGCAGCTGCCACAGGGTCTGCACAGACCAAAGGGCAGGGAGGCCCTTAAGGCCTCTCCTTAGAGACGCCCCACTAGGTGTGACCCTTGAAGAGAGGGTCCTCGCAGCCAGAGTGAAGGAAGCGAGGCCAATCTCCGAGCTGAGGCTAAGGTCTAGAAGTTGGGCACAGGTGCCTGGCACTAGCTCGCATGCCACTCAGTCTCCTAAGATGAAAGGAGGAAGTTTGAGCAGGTGATCCTGAGTCTCTTTCACCGCCGACACTTTCTGCTTTTGAAGTTCTCCACTTCCGTGGCCACCAGTTTTCAGAGGTTCTGAACTTTGGTCCACCCAGCCGGGTCCCATCATGCATGGCACATCGATAGTGCACAAAGCCCAGCACAGTAAGAGCAAGCCTTCCCGAATGCTGACCAGGCACCTTGAACCATCAACTCATCTCCTTCCTGCAGCAGCACGAAGCCCAGTACGCCCATTTCCCAGGTGACGCACAGAAGTACAAAGCCTTTGAGACTGCACAGACATCCCCAGTGCTCAACCAACTGGCCCTTTGGCTTTGTAGTTGCTGAGGTTGGGCTCTGAGCCCAGATACTAAATGGCCTCCTCATAGACAAGAAGCTATGATGCCCATAACAGACACCATAGCCCAAGCCAAATGGCTGCCAAGAGACGAACACATAAGCAAAGGCAGTCGTCCATCCATTTGATGGAATATCATTCTCCCTTAAATAAGATGGAAGTTCTGACATGTGATATGCCATGAATGACATTTGAAGATGTTGTGTGGACTGAAATAAGCCAAACACAAAAGGACAAATACTGTATATTCCTGCTATATCAAGCATGTAAAAGCCAAATTCATCAAGACAGAAATGGGTTAGCAGTTACCTGGAGCTGGAGGGAGGGGATGTTGGACATTGTATTGCTTAATGGGGACAGAGTTCTGCTCAGCGTGATGCAAAAGCTATAGAAATGCAAGCGCTGAGGGTTGTACAACTTTGGGAATGTGCTTAATGCCACCGAAGCATACACTTACAAATGGTTGAAATGGCAGATTCTGTGTTATGTGAAAACCAAATGCTAAAAATAGGTCTAGTAGGATATGTCGAATTTTTGGTGCACCTTCAAGGCCCTTTGTACCACATGCTTTGTGCAAATCTTTATTTAACCTTCAGGATCGCGTTAGCGGGGCAGGCTCCCCCAGTGTCATGCTAACTTCGCAGCAAAGAGCCCACGCCCCAGAACACACACCCTCTCAGGACCCACAAGTGCCAATGGCAGAGCTGGTGCAGACACCCACGGAACTCTGAGACAGGACCAGAGCAGAGGCCACCAGGGAATGTGAGGAACCTCAAAACAAGCCAGGGCGGAGCAGGGCGTGTGGCCTGCCAGCTTCCACGAGTTCCTCATTTGCTTCATCTCACATTTCTCCCTGCATTTTTCATGGGTTTTGTTCCTCTGTTTCACATCACGTCCACACCTCCCTGCCCTGTGCTTCCACTCGCCTCACTGCCTGTGCCCTGGACGCCTCCCTTCCACATCAGCCTGTGGGATCTGGGGCTGACAGAAGCTCATTGTGCACCAAAGGAAAGAGGCTCCGTTTTCTACTAAAGGAGACCCGGCATGCAGCTGTCCTTCACCGTCTGGGGACCTGCCAGGAGTAGGGGCAGCTGGCTGAGGCTGGGCAGTGGCCCCATGACTGCCGGGCCCTGGTGTGTTGCTCGTTTATCACAGTGTCCGCTGGCCAACCACCTGCGTGAGCAGAGTCGAGGTGGTGAGTTTCCTCTGTTTGTTAAGTGCCCATCCCCGCTGACGCATGAAACATTTTGTGTTCAGGTCACCCAGGAACACCAAGTGCATCTCGGTCCTGACCACTTTATTCATGCCCAGGCAGAGCCTTCGAGGGCATTAGCCAAGATTCCAAGGTCCTTAGATACTCCACACACGGAAGAACTCAGGCATGAGAGCCACCTCTTGTTCCAGTCGGCCATGGTGGGGCTTCAGGCCTGTGCCCTACCACCCATGCTCCCCACCCTCTTTCCCAGGATTCTGCTCCTTGGGCTCAGATAGTGACTCTACGTACCCGGAAGATAAACATCACTGCACAAGAACCCGCAAGGCCAAGCGTCAAGCCAAGAGATGGTGCATGTGGGAATTCCAAATTGCAGGAATACTGAAGGCAGCAGCTGTAAACACACATCCCTTTAATCAGGTCCAGGAAAGGGAGCCGAGGGATTAAGGCTGAGGTCCCTTGTGCCTTCGGGAGAGTCGTGGGTGCTGGAGCTCTCTGATGTCTGTCCACTTCCTTCACTTACTTTGGTCTTTGTCTTTTTCTTTTTTCTTTTTTTATTGAGTTGTAAGAAATTCTTCATGTATTCTAGATGCAAGTCCCTCTCAGATACACGATTTGCAAAATTTTCTCCCATTTCCACATACTCCTTTTCACTTTTTTCCTTCTCAATTTTTTTCCTGTTCACTTTTTAATGGAATACTTTGAAGCAAATAAGTGTTTCATTTTGATGTCATTCCAAAAACGTTTACTTATGACATGGAAATCAGAGGCAAAAAGATCAGATGTATACATAAGATGACTAGATATCATGAAAATGTAAGAGAATATATCTACTTAAAAGCTGTTTGCAAGTAGACAATTTAAAGAAATAATAAAGTTAATATTGTAAACAATAGTCTTTATGTATATAAACAAGGGCCAGTTGGAAGGTATGGTGGAAGAAAGGTGTAATTTCAATGAAAATTAAAATATAAAATAGCTGGAAATAATCCATAGTGTTATAGTTTGTGTGTATTTGTCCCCCCAAAGCCTCATGCAGTCACTGAGGTGCAGTTCTACAGTTTGTGATTAATTCATGATCCAAGGCTGGGATCATGGATCTGAGGAGTGCTGGGATTATGGGTGTGAGTGCTATGCCCAGCCTGGGACAGATAGCCTGAATGTAACATAAGAGACAGAGTGACAGACTTGCTCTCAGTAGCCATTGTTGCTGTTACTCCTCCCTTTTGGCTCTTGCTTTTTTGCTGTCTTCCAGAAAAAAAAAAAAAAAAAAAAAAAAAAAAAAAAACTAGTGCCCTCTTTTGTATGCTGCTCTGCCTTGGAGCCAGCTGAGTATGGACTGAAACCTCCACTAACTGTGAGCTAAATAAACCTTTCCTTCTTTCATTTTATATGTCAGGTATTTGTCCCAGCAATGAGAGAAGAGTAACTGAGACACATAGAAATGTATGCAGAAAACTTTAAAAAAACTTCTGGAGAGGTGGAGGAAGTCTTGAAAAAGTGGAAAGCTATAAACAGCCCTAAATCGGACATTTCATCATCATGAAAATGTCAGGTCTTTACTGAATCATTTTATAAATCCAGTACAATTTCAATAGGAAGGAAGACCTTTGGGACTCTCCATAGAACTAGAAAAGTTGAGTCTAAACTTCATACAGAAAAATTAAACAAGCAACTATGGCCATGAAAACCAATGAAGGCAGAGTAATAAACAAGCTTTATAGTAGGAATGGAGAAACGAGGGCTTTTTTTTTTTGTCCAGCTCTGTACTAACAAACTAAGGAACTTTTTGTCATTTCTGTTGGAGCTGGAGCTCCTGGTCTAGAGGAAGTCTACTGTTCCTTTCCACTTTGTAGTTTTGAGATGGGCTCCATTACAAGACTGTCAACTCAGATATTCCAGGGCTGTTGGTACCATGTCTGATATACAAGCCCAGGGCAGCTCAGTCTGGGAAAACAAAAATGGTGGAGAAAAGGTGAGCTTCTGGGGCCCTGAGAAGCCCCTTTGCTAAAGAATGGACTCACCCTTGCTGCACTCTGTCCTGCATCGCCCCACAGACTTCACTCAGTAGTTTGACCTGCCTTCTGTCTCCATTACTTGTCCATTGGAAAAGCAAGCAATGTATCTCTCTGGCCTTGGGGCAGCCCATTTCTTAGGAGCCAATCTGAATACAGAAAGAGAGAAGACAGGGGCAGAGGCCCCACAGAGGGAAGGTGAGTCATCTAGCACAAAAAGAAAGTGGAGACACAGAAAACAGTGTCCCTACATAATAGGACATCTCAGCCCGGGGAGTCCATTCAGAGAGAATCACCCCTATTAGCTATGCTAGAAAAACACAGGCTGAAACAGAGAACCCAGAGGGAATGTTCCAGACCTAAATCTAGACTACAGTGGAATTAATAGATCAATCTCTTTAGATGTGAAAGAACAACCATGTTATAGCCTGGGCTTAGTGCTTGTCACTGACCAAAGCAGACTAATTGCACAAGAAGAAAAGAAAAACCATCTCTTCTCTCTCTCTCTGTTCAGTTAGAAAGGACTTTCTGGAGAAGGCAAGATTTGAAAGAGTTCCTAGAAGAGAAGGGAAGGAGATGCTCTACAAAGCTTGTCAGGTTCTGTTTTCTCCAAAACGCAGAGAAGATGAGAGAGAGAGAGAGAGAGAGAGAGAGAGAGAGAGAGAGAGAGAGAGAGAGAATGAGGATAGAGCCTTCACTTTAAAGAAGTCAGGATCAAAGAACTGAGGAAAAAGTAATAGCTCAGGATTTCCAAGCACAATGGAAAAGTCTGTAAGTGTCCTGACAGAGCAAAGCACATTGAACAACTTTCCCTACAGTTGGTGGACCTATTTGTTCCTCAGTCCCAGATCCCTTCCTGGGAGTTTCAGAAGTGACTCTGGGCCTGGTATAACTCTCCACGATATGATACTGTAGGGTGTCTGGTGAATCAGTCTGCCCACTTCCCAGCGTCTTATCCTGCACTGGAAATGTAAATCATGCTTTAGTATCACTAGGGGTCAGGCAGTGGCTCAAATTCAAGTCAAATCATTACTCAACTCTTATCATAAGTCCAGCCTCGTGCTAAAGGCCCTGATGAACCAAAAGGAAGCCAAAGTAGGGTCCACGCTGTTAAAGAGTTTAGAGTAGGAAAAGGAATTCAAATTGGAAAATTGTATGATTTATAGAGTCTCCACATATCCTTAAATATAAGCAAGAGAGGAAGAGGAAGGAAAGCAGAAGGCCAAGGGCGTACGCAGCCTCCACAAGGCAAGAGAAATTCAGCCCCGCTACACACCCGTGTGAGTAAGGCCAGCTTTCCTCCTCCCTGCTGCAGGCCCAAGAAGACCATGCCAGGAGCCAGGGATAGAATGAACTGTGACTCTTCTGGAAGTTCAACAGCAAGTCTCTAAATGAGAGCTCTCTCTTATCCTATCCTTTTCAGTACTACTTGTTTGAAAAAGGAACAGATTTTCCTGTGACAGCAGCCAGAAAATCAGAAAATAAAGCACAGACGGAGTAGCAAGGATGAGCCTGGAAATGAAGTTAAAGTATCCAGGCTTGGAGAAGACACCACGGCCTGGTTTTCTCCTCCAGCAGCTTCTCCGCTTAGGGAGGTGGCAGACTCAGCTGCGCAGGGGGGTCTGGGGACAGGCCCTTCTCCTGACAGCCACACCCACTGCTCTTCCCACCCACTTCCTCCAAAAGCCTTCTGCAGATGGTGCCTCTCCGTTCCGAGAACCAGTCTGGAGCGGTGATTAAAAGACCAAATTTCCAAGAAGCATTTTTTTCCCCTTGAGCACTTTGGCAAAAGTTCACTAAGACCTAGCGAGCTGTTTCAGAGTGACAATCAAGATGCTGGAGAAAAATTAAGGATTTCCACCAGGCATGAGGCCAGTCCTCAAAAAAGCACTTTCTGGGGGAATGTAAGAGTCTTTGCTCTTTGGAGGAAAATTTCCCCTCTACTGGGGCTCAGGCCTCCCTCCTCTTTCTCTGGTTCCCTCCTTCCCTTCCCTTTCCCAGGGACAAGAGCCATGTCCTTTCCTACCAGGGATCCACATATTGCAGTTATAATGTAACCTGGAAAAAAGAAATAATGAAGGCCTCAGGACCATTCAGGACCAAGTAACCCTGAAGAGTCCTCTCTGCAAGATGCGCTGCTCCTCTGAAAGGACATCTAGTCATCCAGTAGACTTTTGCCCATTTCTGTCTTTGACAGTCATTTCTGATATTTGAGAAATTCTCCCAGAATGCAGTGGGGAAGGATAAAAAGAGGAAAATGAGACAGAGTGTGAAGATAGGAAAGACAGAAAATAGAAACCGCACTTTCAAATTATTGGTGACTTGGTGAAGAAATTTAAAACATGATCAAAATACGGGCCTAGGGAATGATTGTAAGTCGCAGGGACCCATAAGTAGCAAGGGACCATGAACTGAGCGCCCTGATAGAAACTCGTTCTCTTACCATTTCAGGTGCCAGCAGCACAAAGTCAGCAGGACTGCAGGCTCTGCTCCCTCCAGCGGCTCTAGCAAACATTTCCTGGCCTTTTCCAGCCCCAGATAGCGCTTGGTCAGTGGCAGGTGACAGTACCTGCAGTGTCTGCCTCCAACTGCATGTGGCCTTCTTTGTCTGTGTCTTTTTCTGTACTCTTGCTTCTCCTTCTAAGGATGCCAGTAACTGGATTTAAGGCCCACCCTAAATCAAGGATTGTTCCAACTCAAGACCTTTTGACTAATTACACGTGCAAAGAACTTATTTCCAAATAAGGTCACGTTATGCAGTTCCAGGTGGCCGAGGATATGGGCAGTTCGTTATTTAACCTTCTTCACAGACCAAGTAAACTAAGAGACCGATATGGAAGCAGGCAAACCCTGCCATTTGACAATTTTCAAAGTGCCTTCCATTCAAAATAATCAGCGCAGCATGCTGGTCCATCTTTCCTGAGCTCCTACAATTTGGGCACAATACACTTTTCCCCATTATGTACCCTGCACCTGGCTCTCAGTGAACATGCAGTGAATGACACTAGATAGGAGAGACGAGGGTCCACCTGGCCTCCCTGAAAGTGTGGCCCCGCTGCCTCTTTGGGTTAGAGACCACTTCAGTGGCCTTCACCCCGAGGCATGGTGCCGGGGGGGGGGGGGTCCCAAGACCTTCCATTCCACACATGGAAACAGCTTGCTTTAAGGGAATCCAGTTCTTGATGTTCAAATTCCGTGGCTACTTTTCCTAAAATATCTACCTGAGCTTGCTTCTTTCCCTTTCATAACCCAAATTAATAAAAAGAAAGGGGTTCCTCTAATCCATCCTGAACCTTAATTACTATGGTGCCTTGTTCCTAGGAGACTAAAGCCTGAGAAGCCTCAGACATAGGGACAATTTAAAATGTATTTTGGGGTACTAGGGAGATAGCGTAGTGGTCTAGGCCACTGCCTGGCAAGCACAAGGATTGCAGTTCAATCCCTAGTAATGCATGTCATGCTGCTCCCAGAACCTCGGGTGCATCATGTCGGCCCCAAAACTGGGTGTGGTGGCATCCGCCTGTAATCCCAGCACTGGGGAGGCTCAGACAGGAGATCACTACAAGTCTGAACTGTAAAGCAAGACCCTGTACCAAATAAATAAATAAATTTTTCTAATTCAGTCTGAATACACCAAGTGAAGGCACTTTTATGTTAGAAAAGCAACCAGCTAATAATTTTTAAGTCGTGTTTGAACCTTTGTGATACACTTCCTAGAAATTTGAAATCTGAATGAATGTAATGACTAATAGTTTTCCTCATGAGGTAATTCTCCATATTTTTAACAAATCTAACTTGATGAAGAACTGGTAGATCATGAAAATGAACTTTATGTGATTTTGATAACTTGGAAGAAGCTAAAAGAACTGAGAATTTATAACAAAATTCTTCCTATGCCCACCATAGTGTTGTGAACACATTTTCCCACCATATCTATAAGAAAAGAAAATAAAGAATAGAATGGAAGGCCAGGGTATAGCTCAGTGGTACAAATGTCTGCCTGGAAAGCACAAGGTCCCAAGTTCAATCCCGGTACTGCAAAAAAATAAAAATAAAAATAAAAAAGAATAGAATGGAAGCTAAACACTGAGATAGGCTAATGCTAGTAATATTCATCCATGAATAGACAGAAGAGCAAACTGAGAAAATGCAAGTCTTTCCATGTAATTGAGATGTATTTCCTTTTCTTTTTCTTTTTTTTTTTTTTGCGGGACTGGGGATTGAACTCAGGCCCTGCGCTTGCCAGGCAAGCGCTTATTCTACTGAGCCATCTCCCCGGCCCCTGAGGTGCATTTCCTATTACACTGTATTGTGTTATTAAATTTTGCATTGTATTGATATATTCATCAACTATTTAATAAAATTCTTTTAATAGATAACTGAGAAAATTATAACATTTAGAGCTTTTGATCACTGGTTTGTACAGTTAACTTTGCTCCTCCCACACACTTATATTACAAAGATATAATAAACATAGCCACACATTAGGATGAAATTTTATGGGGAAGTGGGGTGAAAGTGTAGTTTCAAGGAGAAATGGAAACAACGCAAAATTTCTGAAGGCTTAAGAGCAGCTTGTTCAGGCCAGGGGCGTAGCTCAGTGGTATAGTATCTGCCTGACAAGTGTGAGTTCAATTCCCAGTTGAAAAAAAAAGAAAGAAAGAAAAGAAAAGAAAAAGAAAGAAAGAGAACAGCTTGTTCGTATGTTTTTAAATGGGTGATGGTAGGTATCCATTTTCTGTGGTATTTATCTTCCATTGGGTACATTCGGAGAGTAATAGTACAGTGTCATAACTGTTGGATTTCCAATGTGGCAGAAAACTGCACCCTGTGCAATGACTGTGTCAGTTTGTGATGCCCATATGTAGCTGTCTCCGTGCTCCTGTTGTCTCTCAGCCCGGCTTAGTCCTCCCTGACGTGGGGACGACCCCTCTCTTGGCAGGGGCAGCAAACACAGAAGGCTACAGGATTGGTACAGGCCACAGGCTATGACTCGGGAGGACACAGGTGATGTGTGTGGTGTGGGGAGAGAAGGGGTGAAACCTCACTATTAGCCAGTGCACTCCCGTCACACCCCACCTCCAGGAGCCAAGTCGAGGGGAATCTGAGCTGAGTCCTCCAAGATAAGAACAGCAGCAGGTTGTGCCTGCAGGTCATGAACTCCTACAGGGCCTGTGCCTCAGTCAGCATTATGGCTGTGTCTAGATGCCCCTGCCCCACACCCAAGCTTCATGCGGCCTTAGCTGGGGCTTTTTCAGAAGTGGCTGGATCTAGGGTATGTGACACCAGAACTGGTTTATGGTTCAATGCTGGGATCAAGGCCACTAGGATTTAGGGTATGAGAGCAACCTTCCCTAGGTAGCCTGGGCAAGGTAAAAGGGACAGAAAGACACTGCTGAGGTCCCTTGCTTGCTTGCTTTTCTGTCTTCTGCTTGCCATGAAGTGCGTGGTTCTCCTCTGGGATCCCCTCTGCCGTGCCACCCTGCCTTGGGTAAAGTCAATTATGGACTGAAACCTCTACAAACCATGAGCCAAGGTAAGCCTTTCCTCCTCTAACTTTTGGTTTCAGGTATTTTGTCTCAGCACTGAGAGAAAAGTAATGAAGACAATCAGTGACGCTCAGATTCCTACAGGCAGGTGGGCAGAGACAGGGCCTGTGTCGCGCACGGCCTTGCCTGCAAGAACAACGCGACCACTGGTTGGTTTTCTGCGCAGCTCTTTATTGTTCTCTTGCATCCGTCTTCTCTCCTCCCGAGGCCCCTGCTCTTAGCTTATAA